CTCTACTATGTTACCTATCAGAACATACTGAAACTGTACATAATATGCGCTTTTATTTATTTGTTTTGTCATTTATCAGTGTCTTGTTTGTAACTCTTGTCTCTTTTCCTCCTATAGATCAGTACAGATCTGTCTAACTCTATATTTTAATCCAAGCATTCAACATTTACAAGCAGTATAGAAACCATATTACATGGTTCATAACACTATATCGAATTAAATTTGGTCAGCAACTACTACATAACTCCGGCTGCTGATGAATAAACAGATAACACATTCTCACTCCCAAGTCGTCAAATACCGACGCTTGTGCGAGTGCAGTGAATGTGTGATTAACTTCATTCATTCATTCATGTAGAAATATAACTCTATGTTTCTTCGATCCACAGGGCACTCATTTTAGTATACAGCATCAGACTGAATTTATGAACGCACCATGTCAGGTCACTCACTCTACAGGACCATGAGTGTTACTTGAAAATGGAAACATTGACCAACAGGACCAGACCGGCCGACCTGTATGCTCTCACTCAGTGGATGGATGATGCCACAGGAAGCTTTGTGGTTGATTGCTGTGCCGATCTTACAAAGGAGGACGACACTTGAACGGTTTCCTCCAGTTTGTTTTGCTATTGAAGCTAACATTAGCTATGCACTGAAAAGTTAGCGTTACGGAGAAATCTAATATTCCTCTTAATCCCTCCCCAGTGTCTGATGAGGTGGACATGATAACCCTTAATACACATAACGTTATTCATCCCTACAACAGTAAATACTTTTTCCCCTAATCTGATATTTGATGATCGCCTCCGTCCAGTCCTTTTGTCTTATCACATTTAACCATAGTTGTCTTTGTATTTTTGTTGACAGGCAGTGGCGGCTGGTGATAGAATTTAAGTTTTGAGTCATAACTCCTTCTATTCTGGCTCCCAGTAACACAACAAGCCTGCATTTTAAGACTCCTGTGTAGCCTACAGCCCTGTGGTGGAGAGTTGTGTTTTGCCTCCAGCCAACAAACTAACATGAGCCCTAAGAGGGTCTATATAATTACATGTTAATACAGCTGTATACAGTTGTGTTATGCTATGTTATACATAGTTCATTATTTGCTTAAACACCAGTTATGGATACTTTATAGTATAAATTATACACAATAAAAATGTTCTTATATCAGCTCACAACTACAATAAAGTGTGTTTGTATACTTCATACAAACATGGTTTAAGTATTCCTGCCTTCTCTTATCTGTTCCAACTTCAGTCTCCAAGGTGAAAATTTGGTGCGTGTTTTGAGATTTCTTCACACGCCAGATGTTGCTGTGCGTGAGCATATTGTCAGCGGCTCAACATGTCAGCATCGTGAAAATCTGACTGACTTGCATTAATGCAAATGCACCAGCATTCTTAAAATCCAGGTATGCTTCCAGCTCTGTTCTCCCCGTTTCTTTGTTTTGACCTCCCATTCCTTTCCCCCAGTGTTGCTATGCAGCACACACACACGCACACACACACACACACACACACTAACGTCAGCTCCATCAACGTACCTGCTGAGCTCAGATTACAAAGCCTTTGCCATGGTAAGGGAAATGCCCCTCAGGAAAGCAATATGGGAGGTAGTGTTGCTGGCTGCCTCTCCAAACCTTTTCACTCTACTATATGGGCTGTAATGAGCTGCAGTGAGGGCAGCAACAGTAAATACAATTGTGAAGCGCATGGGAATGGGCATTTTGCTTGGTTCCCATTTCATCTCTGTGAGGTTTTGTGAGCTCAAACATGTGGGGAAAGATATGTTTGTAGAGATTTCTGGACTCTTAAATAAAACAAAGCTGGCTTCTAGTGTGTACGGCTCGCTCTAGCAGCGCTGAACACACTATGTTCTCAGATGAATCTCCGTTTTATCTTCATCTTTCTTTTATCTTTTAAGTCATCATCTAACAAGCCATGCCATCTCCTTCCTAACCTAGAAAACGTCCCCACCCATCATTATTTTGGGTACTGCTGCAGCATCTACAAACTGTATTTACTGTCAATAGATGACTTCATCGAAACAGATACGGCTTCCATTTCTTACCTTGTTGATGCATGAGTAACTGGCCATGAGAAGCAAAGAAGCGTAGGCATATATGTGTGTGTAGGAGTGTGTATGGGCGGAAAGGTGGTCAGAGATAAAGAGCCACAGACAAAGAGAGAAGAATGTGGCCCTTGTGGTTTTGACCTCCTTTCATCAAGAGCAAAACACGCCATCAATCACTCTCTACGAACCAACATCCTGATGACTAAACACTGTTTCGATACTGATGAAAGGTGTGCAGCAACAACAGCAGTGACACAAGGAGTACAGAGGAGAAATGGGTCGCTCTTTAACTATGGTCCAATGTGGTCAGGAAACACTGAGAAATACACATCTAAAATATATTGGTAAATGGACCTGCATTTGTATAGCGTCTTTCTAGTCATCCGACCACTCAAAGCACTTTTACACTACGAGACTGTATTGATTCAATATCTTCAGTAATAAGACATTAGCACTGTCACTTCTATGACCATATGTCTTTTACCACAATAAACAAAGCGGGGGAAATGACTGCTGTGGAAATTAAATTGTCACTTTTTAAAAAATAAAATGTCATGATAGCTTGACAACGTCCGTTTAAGTGTAACATAAAATGTTGTTTGCTTATTATTTGTACGCTCAAAGGAAATATGAGCTGTGCGGAAATGACAAGACAATTAGCATACTCCTGATGTAACAAATATGTACCTTCAGTTCTTCTTTCTTTAGTTCTCTCCATGGAGCTTACTGTTCTTCAGCCATGTGCTCTCCTGTCACATGACTGCCGTAGTCACTAAGAATACAACCATAAAAACAAACAAACAAACATGAAAAGAGTCACTGAATTTATATTTTGCACATTTTGTGGTGGAAATGACAGTAAACCCAAGGTACAAGTGAAGCTACAATCACTGCTTCATGGTTATGAGCCTTTCATGAACCAGTCATGTTGTAGTTGCAGTTTACATCCATGTCTGTCCAGACTCATATGCAGCCATGACAGTTGACAAGGCTTCCAAACTGGATGTTACAGCTATGGATGTTGATGCTTCACACACATCTTCAACCCATCTGACCAGTCTCAGCTTCTGCTCCTGAGATACGATGTTGAATAACAGCCAGAAAAGTGTTTTTATAGAACATTATGACGCTACAGGGAACGGACCTTTGACCTTTTGGATATAAAATGTCATCACTTCATCACTTCCTATTAGACATCTGTGTGAAATATTGTCATAATTAGTGTATGGATTCTTGAGTTATGGCCAAAAGCTTGTTTTGTGAGAGACCTTTGACCATCAAATTTTAATTAATGCATCCTTGAGTCCACGTGGACGTTTGTGCCAAATTTGAAGGAAATCCCTCAAGGCTTTCTTGAGTTATCACCTTTATGAAAATGGGACAGACGAACATATGGACGGATTGACCATCTGAAAAAATGATGCTGGTGTGGAGACATAAAAAGACATAAAATACTAATATATCTTACAACACATGACATAATTCATTAAAATGGGTATTCATGTGCCATTTGTACCAAAAGTTAATATGAGATCACGACTGAATTCAAAATTAGGCAGGCTGAATGTCCAAAATCTAAGATAAGGCAAGGTAAGGTAAAACTTTATTGTCCCCGAGGGGCAATTTGAGATACAGACAGTAGTCATGAGTACAACAAAACACAGACTCCAGTATCACACACTGTCAGGGGTGAATCATGCACATTAGTGGTCACTGATGGTGATAAGCGATAGCAGACAGGACAAAGGACGATCTGTAATGCTTAGTGCTGCATTGAGAGAGGCAAAACCTCCGCCCTGATGGAAGCATCTGAAACTCAGCATGGAGGGGATGTTGAGAATGAGACCGAGCTTTAGAGGTGACCCTCTATTCATGTAAAATCTGGCTCTGGAAATCTGCATAATCTTGAAAGATCTAGAAATATGGCAAAAGCTACACATAATAGGCCATCTAAAAAAAGACTGATCCATCATCCATTTTTTGAATGTTCTTTTGGTATCAAGAAAGTGCAGGGACACAAATATCACGATAGTTTCAGAATACCATATATGTGTTTCGATGCTGTGCAGTGTAATTTGAAGTCAAGCTTGCTCTAAGATATTTAAACCCAAAGGTTTCAGAAAAAAGTCACAAGATAAACATATTTCATTTTGCTGCAGTACATCGCCATATTCCTAAAAGTGCCTCAGGGACTAAACGCTTAACAAACTAATCAATCACAGCCTGTGCACATAAACATATGTGGCCATAATTTAGCCACCAGAGTAAATCAGAGATACATTTCCAGATAAACAGGACCAAAGAGCGATTTGGACATCTGTGACTGACCGTGCACATTGGGGGAGTTGTTTGATATATATGGCAGGATGTTTGCAGACTTTTTGCCGTGAACCATGCAACGTGAGCAACAGATTGTTTCATAATCAAAACCATTCGGCTCGCGAGGTATACATTATTCTCTGGTGGATAGATTGAGCTTAGTCATTCACAATCACGCCATGCCTGGTTCACCTAAATATGCTGCTCCCTTCATACAAACAAAGTGATGTTTATGGGTGAGCAGGAAGGAGATTTGAAAACATGTTCACTTGATTTATGCTGAAGAAACTGAGGTGTTGAGAGACGTGCAGAGTTGACGACTCGCTCCCTTAACACTGATACCGGCTGCCTTGGCTATAATTCACAGGCTGACTAACCGCACCACCAGTTTTCTTTGCATGACTACTGACAACACTGGCAGGCAGGACGGAGAAGCAAAGGCTCATCAGCAGGGAAGAGGAGACGTTTGCAGCCCCCTGTGTGGCGCTTCGCTGCTTGGGGTTTAATACCTGTTGAGTGGACAGAGATTTAGTGAGCTTGAGCACCGCAATCCCAGCTTAATGTTGTACAGGTGCATCTCTCCTCTCAGGTTAAACTCGCCTCAGGGCAGCTGGCAACGTTAACTGGAGGAGCTTCAGCCGGCTGGAGTCTGTTGGGCAATCAGTTTGACACTGTGGCAGAGGAAAGGCTATCACTAAGGAGAGGTGCGAAGAAACATTCATATATAGAGACACACTAGATACAAAGATCTCTGCTCTGTGAGTTTATGATTATTACTACACCAACACCTTTGTTCTCTGTGCTGTAAAACATTCAGCAATTAAATCTTTACTTCTGTCTCTATTTTGGCCTAATTATACTGATGATTATGTATTTCTACAAATTTGAATTGCATGGTAATGTTATAATAATAATAAACTTTATTAATGTAAACACATTTCCTACGAGAAATGCAGCACTAAGTGATTAACAATAAGGGCAGTGTAAGCACCAAGTGCTTCACATGAAAATAGACAAAATGGACATAAAACAGACAGGGCAATTCATATGAAAGGACATTTAAAAACAGTTAAAACATGGATTAACTGAGTCATAAAAATCATAGAATTGGAAAACTAAAAATCATAAAATCAAGTAAGATTTCAAAAGAGTTACAGCAGCGTGTAGTGTAAAAGGAAAGCATTTCAGATCTGTATCGGGAAAATCAGGGCTAGTTAAAGGCTAAATTAAAGGGATAGTGCACCCAAATTGAAAATTCAGCCATTATCTACTTGATAATGGCTGAATCTGGGGCGCCGTCAGCCTCCATTAGGTGGAGTTGTGTTGCTACCCGGTCTCCCCTTGGGTCTCCGCAAGTGATATGAGGACTCTAAAACTTCACCTGAGCCTCCCTCGGCATATGGGTGAGTAGATAATGGCTGAATTTTAATTTTTGGGTGCACTATCCCTTTAAACAGACACATCTTTAGCTTTCTTTTAAAAATATTTAGCAAGCCAGCTTCCCTGATATCTATAGGTAGTGTGTTCCATAGCTTTGGGGCATAATTGACAAAGGCTGCATCCCTGATCTTCTTCCGGCTGTTGCTGGGAACCTCCCGTAAACCAGCAGCAGATGATCGCAGTGTTCTCGGAGGCAAATAGTTAACAATTGGCCTGAACCAATTTAGGGCTTTGAATATAAGGAGGAGGAGCTTAAAATCAATTCAAAATGTAACAGGAAGTCAGTGCAGAGCAGCTCAGACTTGGTTCTGGTTAATAGCCGAGCTGCAGTTTTGAATGAGCTGAAGTCTCTCAGTGGTGTTTTTTGGGAGGCTGGTAAAAAGTGCGTTACAATAGTTGAGTTGGCTTGAAATAAAGGCATGAATCAATTTCTCTGCATCTTTTTCATTTAGAAATGGTCACACCTTAGCTATGTTTCTGAGGTGGAAAAATGATGTTTTTGTCACCTTGTTAATGTGGGGTGTGAATCTAGGATCACACCAAGATTTGTAACCTTGGATTTAATCCAGGGAGTTAAGATTCTCTAGATTATTAAGCAGCATATTGTTCACACTCCTAAAGAGGCAAAGGCTGGACCGGCCATGGGTGTAATTATATTTCCTTTTTCTCAAGAAAATAGAATAATTATTTACTGATCTTGACACAGAAGTTTTGTACTTGTTTCAGAATCTCAACAAAACCCAAAATGTACAAAACAAATCCTGCAATATTCCAAATACTGAGGGACTAATCTCGTGTCATCTGCAGCTACTTTACAATGTTGTGACATCAGATGATCTACAAAGAACACATTCTGTTTGTGTTGTTGCTCGCACTTTCACACCGTGAACACCTAGGGGAATAAAAGTGTGAAAATGTGCATCAGAGTAGACGTTCCTTGTTTTGGTGTCAGGTAGCTGGAGGGCAGACAGCACTCAAAACACAGGCAAAAGTGACATTTTATATTTTCACACATTTAGCCATTTAAGCTGCGTCAATGTTCTCTTACTGGTTGATGGCTGCAATCTTAAAAACACAACCAAGAAGCTACAAGGAAACAAAAATGAACAATATTACATTTTGAATGCAGTGTCACCACAAAGAAGGGACCAGGAGGAAATATAACTGAACGCTGACATTACTGTCTTTAAGAGGCTGTGGTGCGCTTATTTATTAAGCTACAGCAAAGGTGCTGGTATCATGTGAAACTAGACAGCATGAGGCATCCATTGGTACCAACAGTGGCAGCCCTATCATATTTGGTTTCTCCTTCAAACAACTGTAATTATTCAAATTTCTCACCAAAAGCTACATTTTACAAGATTATACCGAACACATCATGAGACTGTTCTAACATAACTTCGTGTACTCATCTTTACTGAATAGAGCTTGAACACATCTCAGTTTAAGTCAATGCACCCTCCCTGAGCAGTTCGTTGTGGCCACCGGCTGCTTAGACGTAATGATAACTAGCCCTCCACCTGCCTAATTCAACACCGATTTGTTATTGTTTTTTCTGTCTCCCCACATCCAGTCCTCGCAGTAGTGTAGTGGTAGTTGAGTGGGTACTAGTAGTTGAGGTGGACCAGGGGCGGCAAGAACCCAGAAAAAAAGGTCTCTGTTATTTTGTCGGTGAAGATTCTCAGTCATCCAGGTCATGGTAATCGTAAGTGCTATATCGTAGGCAACTGGACTTGCTTGCGTTTCTTGAAGATGTTCCGCCTCTCATCTGAAGAAGATGTCTGAAGAAGAGGAACTGAAGAAGCTTCTTGGATGAGAGGCGAAACGTCTTCAAGAAACGCCAGCAATCCAGTTGCCTACCTTATAGCACTTACGGTCTCTACGGTCTCTATTATTTAGTAAGCTTTGCTATGTCGCTATGTTGTTGTGGCCGTATGTAATATTTCAAAAAAATAGTAGTAATAGTATTCGTGAAAAAAGTAAAAGATAAACATTTTGATTTATTTTTTCTTCCCCAATTTGTGGCGCCCTCTTTGGATGACGGCACCCTTAGCATTCACCTATACTGCCTATGCCACCGGCCGGCACTGGGTACTAACCATGTCAGCATACCTTTCCAAGAAGGGGGCTAAATAACGCTCCAAATTTTGGTTAAATTTTGGCGAATGGTAATTTTGAAAAGGGTCAATTCAACTCTCACCTCAAGATATCTGAACAAAAAAACAAAACATGAGTTCTATGGGTATCCACAAGTCTCCCCAAAACTCTGAGAGGTTTGTTACCAGTTTGCCACCCCAACATTTCTAGTGGCCCCCATCTGGCCACCCCACTGAAAAATGTCTGGTGGCACCACTGATCAGGTGGGAGCCTATGGTTCATCTATGCACTGGACCATCCCTGCTGTTGATGACAGACACCACTGTCATGAAGAAAAAATTATTTGCTTGAAACTCAAGGTCATTGGTGATCGCAACATAAATATTGGCTGATGATACAATATGTTCACAAAAAGCCTCTCCAGCTTCACCATTTAAAAGATAAGGCTGGTGACATTTCATATTTTTGTAATTGTCAACAAATCCTGTGTAAAGCCCAAAATCAACACTGGTTACCCCGTCTCTCAATATGTTCCCACATCTCCAGTTTCTCTGTGGCTCTCAGCCCAAAGACAATTTGATCCTACTTAAGATCCTACTTAATGAAAATCTTTAAAAAAATGCTTAGGAATATGTACTTTTATTTTCAAGAAGGCTAAATAATAATCCAAAACAGCTGGACACTGTCATTTATTGGCAAATATTATTCAAAAGGGGGGCGTTGGGGAGTGTTTTCAGATGTGGATCAATACAGATTTGGTGGTCTAATGAGAATTTGTGGCACCAGGAGGATGTACTGTATGTTAAATTAACTCAAAGTGCAGCTTATGTTCATGGTAATGAAGTAATATTGATGTGTTTTCAACAAGTTATCTCCAGGGGTTATCGCCAGGTTAATCTCTAATAACAGATATCCGCATATGCATGATGAATCCGTGGGCAACAGGACAAAATGTTGGCATAAGGAGCATTCTGGTTTATGTTTGTAGTCCCTGAAGTAACAATCAACCATGTTTGAGTGGGATTGGTTATCTGCAGGTAAACAGTTGGAGAGGAGAGCAAAGGAGGTGGAAATGCAATCTATGGTACCACTGTTGTCTGATGAAAAAGGTAGCTTTTAACTTGTGGATTTTCTGTTTATAGAATTAGCCAAAATGTTGTATGGACCTTTCTCTCGGTGCTAATCCAACTGTAAACAATGAGCATCACACAAGGACGTCTTGGCCCAGATATTCACTGGCTTCACCACATCAATAGAATAATTGGCCCTCACTCCAAGAGGCTTATTGTCATCAGACGATAGCCGATTGTCTCCAGGAATAAAAAGTGAAGCCAATGCACAAGTGCCTCAAACCTGCGTTCTTTTTAATGGCCAGCAGGGGGCGTCTCCGCTGACTGTTAAAAGATCTGACTGTATAGAAGTCAATGAGAAAATGACCCTACTTCTCACTTGATTTATTACCTCAGCAAACAGTTTCCTAACAAATTTATGGTCTCAATCGCTAGTTCCTGGTCTTCTTCCATACAGCATGATGTTCATTTTGTAACTGAGGGTCCCAGCTAGAGTAAAATAGATGAGTCCTCAGGTTTTCAGTCAGATCCACCCCTCACTCCCCTACAGCTCCACCGTCTTGCCCAAATATGGTCACGTCTGGATCCAAAAAGCCAAGATGTCGACGATCAAAATGCCAAACTAATGGACTCAAAACCATCGTCCAGAAACCAAGGGAGGTCTATGGTTTTTAATATTTTAACAAAGACACTCTATGGCACTACAGCAATAGTTGCCAGCGGGTGGGTCGCGGCCCAAACCACCGACGCAACCTGCTCCCGTGCTCTTGAAAGCTGGTTGCCTACCATTATTTGACTACAAATATGACGTATCATCTGAAACATGGAAGTAGCTATATGCCCATTAGCCATGATACTACTGATACTATTCTTTCTCACACCTTGAACTCAAACCATTGTGTTGCCCCGCCCAAAATATATAGTATAATAAATAAATTAATATCGTAAACATGCAGGCGACTAGTCGACTAATGGCCCTAAATTACTATTATTGGTCAACTAGGAATATTCTTAGTCTGGGGCAGCCCTAGTAGAGATTAAGATACATCAGGCTTTCGATACAGAGAAACTTGATCAAGTCATTGTTGGTTTTGGTCCTTTTCATAAGTTTTGTTGACAATTAGAAAAATATGGACGACAGACTTATTTAACACACAAATAAAAATGAGCACATTTGCACCTTCTTTCAGCGACAGGGTCACAGGCACCTTTACAAACATCTTTCCACACCTCAACAGGCCTTTTTCACAGCAGACTGTTGACTTGTCATGGGAAAATGCAAAGGTGTTATTACTACCATTACATCATTCAAGTGTTCCTATGAGTCATGGCAGCGAGACAGCACACACAACATTAAGACCATGAACCTGAAGCAGCTAAATGGAATTCAGCCGTCACTGATTTTATTATTTACACCTCGCCGTGGCAAACAACGCCTGTGTCTTCTGTATGTGCTGCTAATATTTTTAACATTCTGAGCATAACACCTGCTCTTTTATGTATAAATACAGAAACTTTTTCCTTAACGTAAAAAAGAACATATCCACCTCTTCACAAAGCCTGTAAATATTTCAAGCAGCCAGGACCAAATTCCAAATGAGTAGCCATAGGCGTTATGTTTTATGAAAATAACTTCTCGAACCTCTCTATAATTTACAACTCTCTACAGGCTGCTTTGGTCTTACCTGTGCTCCGGCTTTGCCCTGGACAACAGAGGAAAAATCGGACTTCCTCTGCAGCACTATGTAAGGTAATGGAAACACGGTTATACTGACATCATTACAGCAAACAGGGCCTCTGCGCGGTCATCTGTTTGGGCCCCGGAGCTCCGAGTCATGGACTGTGGAAGAGAAATCCTTTGTTAGTGTCTACACCAGTTAAAGTGAAAAACAGAAGCAAAGATGTGAGCTTTACAAAGTCAGCCAAGCTATCGATTTTTCTTTGTATCATTTTTATGTTTGTTTTTCTGCGTTTGAAGATGCACTGAGCTTTTTTTAGTCTCTTTTTGGCTTCTCAACCTCAAATGAAGGTAAATGCTTTCATAGAGTGCAATACATGGAACAAAAGATTTTATAGGAAGCCTTGGCTTCTTCCCTCACTTGACCTCTCTCTTCTCTCCGACCCGACCTCTTGTTGGCCTCTTGTTTAGCTTCCTGACTCATGTTTACACCACTCCCCCAGACCGTAATGAAAGGCAGCGTTTCAAGAGCAAACTGCTTTTCCTCCATCGATACAGAAGAAACTGAGATTCGCTCTGAGAGCAGTTGAGATCTGGGAACGCCATGACCCCCGCTGACAGTTTGTCCCTCTGAGAAATTCCTCCCTTGTTTGTTAAAGTGTCAAGTCACATGTCAAGGGATTGGTTGCCTTGAGCAACAGCATAAATGTACAAAACAAATAATAGGTTGAGAAAAGCCAAATATAGGATTTGGCTTTTTTGAGGAACATTGGATGCTTTCGTAAATATGATTATTTGCTTTCTTGCTGAGGAGTAGAAAAGAAGATTGATACCGCTCTCATATTTGTATGGTAAATATGTACATCTACCATACATTAGATGACTTTGAAAGGACATTTAAATATTTTAAAAGACTTAAATCTGACAACTCTCACATCTAAAGATTGAGTTTTTAGTCACAGATGAGATTTTGCGTAGACTGAGGATCTTGCAGGGTCACTATTTGCAAGACTACAGCTAGATTCATTTTGAGATTATTTCCCATCCTGCTCCTGGTGGAAAATATTTCACCAAACTCCCTTTAAGCAACACAACATATTGACAGTTCCTTACATGTCTGCAGACACACATGACTCTAGAAACACAAGATAAAAGGCATCTAATGTTTCAAGTATTCTTGTCAGTTCGGCATCAATAAAATGAAGACAAACTGTATTTGTGTACAAACTTTACATTTACATGACATAGTTGCTCTCCTTTAGTGGGAGGAGACAGTGGGAATGAGGGGGTACTGTTTCAAGAATTAAGATTTCTCACTAAAATAAGTGCTGGGTGGGGGATCAGATACACACTAAATTAAACACTGATTCTTGTTCACGTCACAGCTCCACCAGTTTCTCCTCCTTTTCCACAGTACAACAGAACCGAGACTTGTTCCTCCCCGGAGTCCCCTCCATGTTTAACATCTACCTAGTTTGCTGCTTCCTGTTTGGTGCTGGAGAGAGCGCAGCTATTGGATGTCGACCATGTTCATATTACTGAACTTCAGTATTTAAATGAGCCAAGACTAAAACCTACAATGATATTGAACATGTTTGATTTTGTCAGAATGCCAAAAAACTGACTTGAGACAGCTTGGACTGAGTTTTATGACCACCTTACACCAAACGATCGAGATTGAGATTAGGGGCGCCCGATAACTGAGGTAAAGGCTATTTGTGATTTGAGTAAACAGCACAAGAATTCCTGAAGTCACTGAAAGACATAAAGGGCTGGAAAGAAACCAGAGGATCTGCAACCTCTGTGATGATAATCATATGGGAGATGAGTGTCATATTTTGTTTAATGTCCGGATGTAAGCTTAATGACTTACAGAGAAAGGTATTTGCCAAAGTATTATCTAAACTGTTCATCTATGTTTTAATTAATTATGTAATTACAATCAGATACACCAAAAATAATCTATAAACTAGGTGCTTTTTTGAAGAATGTCCATCCTTTGTTTAAGTAACAAAGGTTGGTTGGTTGTACTTTAGCCACACAGTGTGCCGTTTTGTTATTGTATGTAATGTTTGTACTCTCTCTAATAAATAAAATAAAATGAAATGGAAACTCTTGTGATTTTATTCCAACATTAGAAATTTGATAGTGGAGTTGCTTGAAAAGTTGTTTGGTGTATGGTCGGCAGTAGCTGGAGCTAGCAGCCTGTTAGCTTAGCCTGCATAAAAAGTGGAAACGAGGAGGACACAGCTAGAATGGCTCAGTTCATTGATAACAAAATTGGCCTGCAAGCTTTATGAAAATCATGGCTTCTTTTATTCATTCATTCACTTATTGTCTTTTATGTTTCTTGACTTTTGCAGTACATTTGTTATGTTTATTGTTATACACCAAACACTATAGAGTGTGTCAGTAAACCCGGAACTCTGTTAGCGCTTTTAGTACTTCGGGTTCTCTCGTCTAAAAGTCAATACATTTTTTGAATGGGATTTTGGTAAAATGCCTCAAATAAGGTCTGTGGTTAACAAAAGCTTAAGCGAGTTTCAGGTTTTGTTCTACGACATAAAACACGTCAGTAAATACCCTACTTGTGAATTTTGAAGCTTTTCCGTGTCGTAAAAAAGGCGGTTGCGAACAAGTTGCTCAATACAACTACAAACCCTGTCGGGGACATTAAATGTCATCACCCCCGAACAGGCGAGAGTGCTGGCAGTCCGCCATTACAGCTTCTTATTTAGCTTAAACAGTCCGATTTCCCCATTATACAATGTTTTTAAAATAAAGCGGCCGAAATCAGTTGAAAGCTTAGTGGCTGTGACGTCAAGAGTCATGTGACCGTGGAGTAGTCATGTAGTCCTTTAAAGCCTAACTTTATCTTTTTACTTCTGGCGATCGCATTTAAGCTTCAAATGCGGTATGAAAGGTGTTCATATGTGAAGATTATCTCGCTGAACAAAACCTGTAAGTACCATAAACTTGTGTTAGCCACAGAGCTTATTTTTTGACATAATCCAAAACTCAATGCAAAAATCACATTCACTTTCTCCTCCGGGAACCAGCGCGATGCTAAACTTCCGGGTTTTGACGTCAGCCCTGGCACACTCTATGGCAGACTCTGTCTTTGCAATAAACCTGATCCTGATTCTACGCAGACAGATAACTTATGATATTCTGCTAAATTAACGTGATGGTCACAGCCACACATGATAATGTTTTCCCAGTCCACACTCTTAAAACTCATTAGTTTGTTATCTACCTTGTTTACTTTTATTTATGGTCAACCATACCTGAACAATTCGCATCGCACGGTTGGTTTGATTTAGAATCTGTTTATTTGCTTTTAACCTTATATTGTTTAAGTGTACACATTCTGGCATTGTAGGGTCACACAGGCAAACTGTTTGATATTAATCATCTGTTTCTTTGTCTTTGAGTTACAGTGGTTGTTTAGGGTGGTCACTTCCTGGCCAAAGGTGCAGCTGAGGGCTGAGGACTCTTAAATCCTGGAGCCAACTCATTGGATCAAATCATGTGCTGCCATGTCATGGGGATGATTCTGGTTTAGTTAGTTTTGCTTTGTGTTTAGTTTAGTTTAGTTTATCAAGCTCCCTCGTGTGTCATTTGGACAGGTCAGTTTGTTCAGTTAACACCTTGTTTAGTTATTATATTGAGTATAGTTATATCATGTTGACCTCTTTCATAGGCCGAGTTGTTCATTTCTTGGTTTGTAATTTTTCATGCATTTTTCAGGGTAAATAAAGATCCACTATTTTGTCAATAACTCCTACGTCCTTGTTGCCTCACTGCTTGGTCCCGAACATAATGCAAAGATTAATTGCTCTCTTTTAGTTTCTGTTTTCTTTTCCTCTTCTTACAGAGCAGATATTGATGCTGTAGCAAAAATAATGCAGTTTAATTTCAGTTATACGTAAAGATAATTATCCACTGAGATTTCTTTGTTGCACACGATACTATATATCTCTAACATGACTGTCATTTCCATTTCTCTTTCATGAATTAATTAGAAGACACTGGAAGATATGGAATATTGGACAGACCTAAAAGAAAAAACTGAATAAGTCAGTGGCGAATTCACACAGAGATAAAGGCTTTCTGGATGTAGCTCGTTCAGTGAATTGAATTTCTCAATTTAGGGCATTCGTAGTAATTCTGTGCTTTTAATTAATGTCTCGATAATGTTCCAGTAATTATTATTTGCACTCAATGTCAAATAAATGTCACGCAAGAAATGTATTTAAAGCTGCAACAATGTGTTTTCACTTCAAGAGTAACAAATGAGATGATGACGGATCATGGCATGTCACCCCCGTTTAATAATGTTAATTTTATTTGAACACGCATGTGTGTTGTGTTTGCTAATTCTCAGAGTGTGTGGCGCCGTGCTGGGGTTCACCCACGATGCTGTGTGTGTTGTAGCGGACATGATGTGTAACAGGTGTGAGGCGGTGAGGAGGGGAGACGTCTGCAGCTGTCCCTGCAGACACCGGTCACGTCCTCCCCCATCTGCCTTCCCCCTCCCACGGCCCATCAAGCCCCTAAAAGCCTGGCTCAAGTGTGTGTGTGTGTGTATGTATATTTATGTATGTGTGTGTGCAGCAGCAGCCGTTGGATCCCTGCTTACCGCAGCCAAGTGTCATCACCTTTCTATCCAGCCTCCCGCAGCCCCTCCCTCCTGTTAAGCACTAATACCCTGCAGGTACCCGAGGATCCTGGACACATGTGGTTTCGGCCATGTGTCCATTTAACAATGAATTATCACGCTTTGTGCTTCGCTTCGGCCAGCAGCAATCCAACCTTCATGCTGCTGATCATTATGCCTGGGTGAAATTTAAATTATGCTTCTGAAATCGAATGCTAGTTTCAGAGTGTGAATTAAAATCACTCGCAGGGAGAAATGATGAAATTAAAGGAATGCTGTTACATTTGTCTCCTCTTTATGTTTGATGTGCTTGACTTTCATGAAGGCTTATTAATTTTCTTTGCCTGTCGCAGAAATGTGGGACTAAGTTTATTATCTAAAATTCTGTCAGATTCACATGTAATAGGAGCGTTATTAGACTGGCAAAAGGTTTTTTAGTAAATGGAGGCCACATATTTTGAGCCAAAAAATCTTTGGTTCTGTGAATAACAATGTTTGTCGATCAACACTTCGGTTGAGACTGAATTATGTCAATGAAATTTAGCGCAGACATTCATGGTCCCCAGTGGATGAATCATGTGGATTTGGGTGATGTTCTGACTGTTCCTTTAGCACCATCACCAGGTCAATATCTTAAATTTGTCCAATACATTGGTTCATGGTTAGAGTTGGGTCAAATTCCTGTTTTGCCGGTCTGGTGTACGAGCTTTAACGGCTTGATTTTTTTGCAAACTGGCTGAACAGACATTTGTCATTATGACAAGTTCTGGCAAATTAAAAGGTGCCGTAAAACACCGGGCCATTATGTGCTTATATTTGGGACAGGTGTCTATATGGGATAGGCCTTTAATTCCTTTCACACAAAACTGTTGCTCAGCAAAGTTCAAGAAATACAATCAAATAAACTGTTTATTTAAAGCAGTATGAGTTTTACTTATAAAAATTAGACTTTGAATACCATATCAATACCAGGCTGGTAAATCTGAATAAATTACTGTCTTCTTTGGCGCTCATACTGTAGTTTCAGTAAAATTAACTGAACGATTGAATTGTGGAGAACCTAACCAAGCTAACAGTAGCCCTTTTTAAACAGGAATTGTGCAAATTTGCAGGAAAGCCCAATCAGTCTTTTTTCAGCATTGGCAGTATAAAAACAAAATCGGGGAGTGCAGCAAAATGTCGCCTACCTACTTTTGTTTATACAGAATGCGCCTTTTTCGGGGCAATGGGGGGCGTGAACAAGTAACAAAACGTGTAGCTCAGCGTGTGACGTAAACAGTGACGTGGGAGGGAAGCCGCAGCTGGTCAGTCCTTCGGCGACTCTCTCATAAGTCGGCCCGTCCTTCACCGTCCCCGTCATTTGATGGTTAATGGCCTCTTCATTTGCGAGGACAAGGAGGGCGCGCAATTCTTTGTCTCCTCAGTTGCTCATCTTTACAGTGTCTGTCAGGTTTGCGTTTCCCTCTTGCTACTAGCTGCTCACTAATTCCTGCTATCAGCTGTTTCCTGTTTATCCACCGCCACTGGGTTGCACGTGCAGCGTCATCAACAGCCTCCCACCCTCCCCTCCCACAAGTCTTCAACAGCCCCTCCTGTGGCAGAAGGGCGCCTTGTTCTTTTTAAACCAAAAAGGTTCCGCCAATATGACTACCCTACGAGGTGGAAAATTGGGCACCTCGGATCAACTCACCAATCCGGCTCTGTGTGTCTAAACGTTCGCAGCTTGCCGGCAAAACAGCCCAACATTCGCCGAAAATCTGGCAGTGTAAAAGGGGCTTATGTGTAGCATCTCTATATTGACAAAGTATAAACATTTATGTTTCTATGTGCGATCAAAGCAGCTAACTAACATAAGCTCCAGTGGGGAGTAAATAATCCGGTTTTATACATCCAAAGAACTTCTATAAAAATGAACCGCTTGGCAACCAGACCAGGCCTCTAATTGAGATACCGGCCTTTATTTGTCAAAGTGTGTAGCCACACTGGCTAGTAAAAGGGACTGGGCATTTAATTGAAGTTTTATTGTAGCCTAAATCAGTAACCTGTGCTGACGGCATCACTGCACTAAATCCACTTGTCCTGCCTCAGTAATGAGCTACATGACAACATGATTGATGTAATATAAATGGACTGTCAGAGCCACTAGTGTCTGAGAGGCCGTGCGCCATTTACTGTTAAGCCGAGCACCAGCAACATGAAGGAGATCAAATTGTAGTAGGAGATGAGTAGTACATGTTGTTTACTTGAAAGTTAAGTGTGTTTTCTGGGGTGACATGAGAAGTTATGACACAGTTAGTCTCTCAAAAAGACAAATTGCACCAAAATGGCAACATTTTAGATCTGAAGCACACGTAAGAGGCGTCCTAACTGGCTGTGAGCGATGCAGCGTGCTGTTTTGAGCTAAACTTTTGTCGGATGCCGTGTTTCTATTGATTCTTGTCGCTGGCTTTAAAAGCAACGCAACGGACAAGGAATGGCTGATTCATAAAGTTTAAATGAGTGATTATCACTATGATTCCTTCTTATTTTACTGAAGAAACCTTGGAAAAAGTGGCAGGTGGCTGAAGGGAGTTCATCTGGGAGCTGAAAGCTTCAAGTAAGGTAAATGACTATCACTAATAACAAGCAAGGCTGTGTGCTGTTGGCTGTATTCTATGTCATTTCCGGTAAATATCACAACATAAAATGTGTGTTGTCTGTTTAAAAAGTACAAATTTAGAAAAATAAGTCAGTGGTTATGTCTCCAGGCTGATCTCGAGTGCACAGCTGGTGGTTTGTTTACATGACGCAACAGAAGTGCATATGTAATGAATACAGCGTGGGCAGAGAGCTCTGATGTGGAGCGATGCAACGTGATCGTCAGATACATACGTGTTGGAACATAGTGTCATGATGCTCCACATTATGCTTGAAAATGTTAACACCAGGTATATAAATACCTGCTCAAACTAAAGACATTCCCATCAACCTCAGCTGTATTTTGCATATAGTCCTGAATAATCACAAATCTTTGCATGCTGAAACTCAAATACTAAGATACTGAACCTGGTAAAGAGTAAACCAACTAAACATCAGCATGTTAACACTGGCATTGTGAGCGTGTTAGCAAGCATGCCTGTAGACTGGTCTCGTTCAATAAGTGGATGCCATACATTTTTTATTCTGGGTAAGTTTGCAGGCCACATGTCCATGATGCTCTCTGACACCTAATTAGAGAGCATCAACCTCAAACATATGGCACAGCGGTAAACAGAGAGCAACAAGCAACAAACAAGGGTACTGTCTGCAAGAGACAGTAACACAGCTGCAGAATCAAACCAAAGCAAATTCAAATACCGTGTGCTAATAAGGCACATATACATGAACTTTTTGTACCTACCCAGCTTCTGTCAGCATGTAGCGGAAGTGCCGATGAAGCCAATCTGTGACACAGGAAGAGTGCAAAGAAGCAGTGATGAGCTAATGTTTACAGGACATGTGTGTATGTGGCCTTATGTTAGAAGAGTTTTAAACTCAGAGGGAGAGATGTGAGGTAAATATACTGCAACTTCTGTCAAAGCCCATAGACCCTCTACCCTCTATGCAGATATTTTTAGGTCCAATGCAATTTACACTTTCTGAGGTTAGCATTATTTCCAGTGTCTGTTGTGAATAAACGCTTCAACTTGCCTCAAAATCATCACATTTTTATGTTTTCTTTAGTATGAAAACAACATGGTGGCAGTAGTCAGTACATTTATAGGTGCGCTGCAGACAGGAACTGCTAATAGCTAAGTTGGCATACTTTCAATGCTGCCAACGTGCCAAAATGTAAACAAATATAAGACTAAAAAACAGGCTCAAATTGCAGCGCAAAGTGTAAGGCTGAATCCAAATGTCCGGATTTCACTGCACTTGCAGATTGGCGGATCTGCGGGCACGTTCCCTGGAAGTCTGGGAGTGCCGAGGGCTGTCCAAAATCACATTTCAACAAGTCCACAAGGGGCCCCAAGCGGAAGTTTGCAGACTTCCAGAGAGTCTGCTGGGGGTGCAGACTTAAGCAGACTTCACCGATTTAATAACCCAAAATTTATAGCCATACGGATGTGACGCTGTAGGATTTGTTTGCCAAAAAAAAAACCCTATGAATGTGTTAAATAGTTATTGATAGTTAAGACTATCAAAATGCTTCTTGAATTGTGTCGGCCAGAAATAATATTCAACCACATCATGATACAGAGATATGTATAAGTATAGGCTGTAGAGGGACTGAAAATGCATTTTATTATTGCAGCCTAACAAGCTGAGCAATGAAATAGGCTAAAAATGTCCAAAAAACAGCAAAAGAAGGTCTTCTAACATTGGTAATACCCAATTTATTGAGTTATAGTTCTGTCCTTGTTTACAAACATTTCTGTTTTTGAACACGTGTTGCCTGAGATGTATGGATATATATTTGTTCAGTGACAATATAGGCCAACAAGGGATTTATATCTTGTTATCTGCAGGGACAGATGAGCAGGAACTATTCATCAACCTGTATGACTTATATATATGAATATGGCAACAAGTAAAACAGTCTGGAAGGCTGTCTACCAGCCGCTTGCGTCTCTGCCCTCGCAGACTTTACATGATGGCGGTAAACACGTCACACTATGTACAACTGAAGTCTGCAGGTCCAGAGGGTGGACATTTGGATTCAGCCTAAAGCCTACTTCGCATTTCACGATTTTCAGTGCGATTTTGGCGTCGCAGAGGATCTTGAGAGCCGCCTTGGGTCAGAGGTGAGTCGGCAGATAGTCTGCCACGACGAGTCCTCATGTGTGAACAAGCCTACGAGCAAGTCGCCCCCTCGTCTGTGACTGGGACTGGATATCTGGCATGCTAGAAAACTGGAGAAGGCTGACACGACTGACAAAGAGCATCAGCCAATGAGAGGCGGGATACATCCCACGTCAGCACGCAGGAAGATGGAAGAAATGTGAGGAGGACAAGTCGCAGGGTTGCCAGGTCTGCTTATTAACCGCAACTTTGGGCTTGTTTCTAAAGTGGAGTTGCTTATTTGGGCTTGCTCTCTAAACGTCACCTTTCTCTATATATATCCATCTGATAAGTTATTTAAACACATGATAGTCACTTCTTTTGGGCTTGTTTCCATAGCTCTGGTTGCTTGTTTCTCTCCCAAGATCTGGCAACACTGACAAGCCGGCAAGCAACAATAACAATGGTGGCGTCCACAGGATCACGGGGTGGGTGTTGTGTTTGGACCCAGGCCCTGGAGGCAGATCTGATTCAACACTGGGAAGAATATCCACACCTTTACGATGTGTCGTCTCCAAGTTTGGTGACATCACTGCGTTATCTGGGGCTCTGTTGGCAACTTGGCGAGGGCTCGGTGGAGAAATCTTGTGGTGTGCACACACAGGTCGTAATGCAGCTGGCGACACCCCTGCTGACAGAAACACACGTCGCCAGGTATGAACACTCAAAAGATTACGATAGTCTCTGTGACGCAAAATCAGGGTGAAAATCATATAATGTGAACTAGCCTTTACTCACTTAGCCCATGGCAACACTGTACTTCCTGTTTACACTTTATTATGGGAACTGTAGTTCTAGTGGGGTAGGGTAGTGTTAGGGAGGGGTGCAGCTTTTGTCAGAGAGGAGCCTCCAGTGTCGTTGACTTTGAAAACCACTGTAAAAGGATGCATTGCCTTTAATCCAGTTTAATTTGGGTGCATGTTCAGCCATATTAAATGAGGAATAAATATAAATATTAAAGAAACAATATCAAACAATAGGAAAAAATGGGATATGCAAAGCAGCCATTAAAATGTTTTAATGATCCTGGGTGATTAAAAAAAACACTTTTAAAGCAACACATATGGAAACACACAGCAGGGATAATGTGAAGATGGAGCTTTATTAATGTTTTAATGGCTGGAGTCTTTTTTTCTTCCTGTGTTTACACTTAGCTTGTTCTACTCTGATGAATTATCATTAGCTCATATCCAACACAAAGTGATTATTTTAAACAATGTTTAAAAGGAAGCAGCATCTCATGACAAGCTTCTTTTTCCCTTCTTATTGTCATTTTTGGCAGTAAACATGCACAGAAGCTTTTTTTTCTATTTGTGGTGTTTCAACATCTGGCTCCAATTATATGACAATATGTACAAGCTATGTAGAAGAAATATTTTTGAGATAAAACTTAGCTTTTCCATTGTTTTCCTCTCAGCAGCATGTGAAATGTCACATCAATGAGCTTCCTACAAGCTCAGTTCCATTTGTGATTCTTCGCTGTTTCGCTAAGAGATATATTGAGTTTTCTTTCCTTGAGGGCATCCCAATGTCTGACAAGATTTTGACTGACAGCTTAAACAGATAATTATATCCCAAATTGAAATCCATTAAAGGCTGGTGACAGATTAGTAAAGAAGGTTACTTGTCCATGGCAGCACAATACCGCCTCCAGGTAATCCTAAAATGGGATGTCATGAAGAGAAAATGAATCCGCAAAACTTCCTGCTGGACCAATACTGACTGTCAAAAGGGCGACTGTGATTTAGAGGTGACCCGCAACACAATGCACAACACTAACACCCGTGAACAAACACAGCTGAGAGGTTTCACATGAAGCCGGAGCTCAGTCGTATTCAAATCATGTTTGTAGAGAAAGCTGCTTGTCGATTTCTGTTCTCGCCAGTTTGGCCCACTGAAATTACAACTGACAGTCAAATAAAATTGACCTACCTCAAAGGAGATACTGTCAGCTGATATATGTTTATGCAATTAAAGCATGAGGCATATAATAATGACACTAAATGGATATATTCAGGGGCGATGCAAATGCCCTGTCTTGTAGTTAAGGTATGAGGATTAATTAAATGTTTTTCACTTCAGGATACAAAACCAAGCTGATGGTTTTATAGTTGATTTCGAGCAGTTCCACAGAGTCTGACCTCTATATTTAATAACAACAAAAAGCACAGCAGTAAGATGAATACAAATTATATAAAGTCCCAGTAAAATATGAATTTAATTGGAGCCCAGTTGCCAGAATAAAATGTTAGCATTGCACATTACTGCAAACCACCGATATGTCACATTTGTATATTTTATACATATCATATCAACATTTCTAAAGTGACACAGTTCAGATTAATAGTTAATGAGCTAAATTTGTCATGTGGAGGAGGAGATGGTGGTGGATGGCGTGAGACCAAGGCAAGATGGCTGCCAAGCACCAGACAGCAGCAGACAACTGTTCAAGTCAACAAACAACAAAACCCAGTATTTTTTCAACACCATATCAGGATTTGAAACCATGTTTGTGGTGACAAAACTGGGGATTTTTTTTATCAAAATGCTGGGACGTTACCAGCCATGTCTGTGGCAATAAAGTGGGTATTTTTTTTAACAACATGCTGGGACATTTTCAAGTGCTATTTGTGCCGACAAAAATGGGTAGTTTTAAATACATGTCAGCAATTACCAACTATGTTTGTGGCGAAAAAAAAACAAGTATTTTTAACACCACGTCGGGATATTTCGAGCCGTGTTAGTGGTGACAAAACTGGATATTTTTAACGATATGTCGAGACATTAACAGCTGTGTTTATGGCAGCAAAACTGTGCATTTTTTAACAATGAGTTGGGACAATTCCAGCTGTATTTGTGTCGACAAAACAGGGTATTTTTAACAACACATCAGAACCTTTCCTGCTGTGTTTGTGGCGACCTAACCTGAAATTTTAATCCAAAACATGATCTTTTCCTAACCCTGACTGATTGTATATTGTGCCTAAACTGAACTATAACTTGACCACAGTGTTGTCACAACACAAAAAGTGGAAACGTAAAAAATATAAACTTTTGCTGCATATAAAACGTACAGTTTTACCACATCTGTGGCTGCAGGAACTTACAAAGCCAGTATTTATTCTGATGACTAGATCTGGAAGTTGATAGATCACACACAGATACTTATACATAAAAAAACAATTGTTTGAAAAAGTATTAACATTAAAATTTACATGGTTAATACTGTAATTTAATTCCCTAAAGTTCAGGGCAGATGGCTCGTAACTACTCGAATTGGTTGCCATTCTCAAGCACCTCAATTGCCTTTAAAACAGATATATATGTGGATATATGGATAAATTAAACAGTACACACAAAGTCAAAAAAGTACAACGGTGGATCATACTGTCTTCAGTAATCCAACTGTCACTACTATTAACTTTCTCAGAAATAATTTAATATAAGGCAGATTTTTCATGAAGACTCAATGTAATAATAACTTAAGACATCAGAGTTATTTTGAGGGTATTAATAAATATCTGTGCTGTTATGAAAACACTATAATTTCAGATTTTCCAGCCTTCTTCGTAGTGAAAGAACAATTATTTTTTTATGACATGTCAGTGCATTACCAACTGTG